GGTTGTTGATGAAGAGATCAAACAAAGCCAGCCCCAAGATCGACCCCTGGGGCACTCCATTTGATACCGGTTGCCAACTAAACATCAAGCCATTGCTTACTAGTCTCTGAGCCTGATGCTCCAGCCAGTTTCCTATCCAGCTTACTGTCCATTCATTCAGCGCGTACTTCCTTAGCTTTCCTGGGACAATGTTGTGGGAGACTGTACCAAAAGCCTTGCTAAAATCAAGGTACACCACATCCACTGGTCTCCTCATATCCACAGAGCCAGTCATCTCACCGTAGAAGGCAATCAGGTTGGTCAGGCATGATTTGCCCTTGGTGAGTCTATGCTGACTGTTTCTAATCACCTTCTTCTCCAAGTGGTTAGAAATGGATTCCTTGAGGATCTGCTCCATGATTTTCCCAGGACTGAGGTAAGGCTGACCGGTCTGTAGTTCCCTGGATCTTCCTTTTTCCCCTTATTGAATATGGGCGTTATGTTGGCCCTTTTCCAATTGTCTGGGGCCTCTCCTGATCACCATGAGTTTTCAAAGACACTGGCCAATTGCTCTGCAATTACATCAGGCAACTCCCTCAGCACCCTTGGGTGCATCCCATCTGGCCCCATGGACTTCTACACGTCCAGCTTTTCTAAGTAGTCCCTAACCTGTTCTTTCACCACTGAGGGCTGCTCAACTCCTCCCCAAACTGTGCTGCCCAGTCCAGTAGTTTGGAAGCTGCCCTTGCCTGTGAAGACCGAGGTAAAAAAGACATCGAGCACTTCAGCCTTTTCTGCATCCTCTGTCGCTAGGTTGCCTCCCCCATTCAGTAAGGAGCCCACCCTTTCCCTGACTCTCCTCTTGCTACTGACTTACTTGTAGAAGCCCTTTTTGTTACCCTTCACATCCCTTGCTAGCTACAACTCCAACTGTGCTTTAGCCGTCCTGACTTCATCCCTGCATGCCCAAGCAATACTTTTATACTCCTCCCTAGTCATTTGTCGAAATTTCCACTTCTTGCAAGCTTTCTTTTTGTGATTTGGTTTACTGAAGAGCTTCCTGCTAAGCCAAGCTGGTCTTCTGCTATACTTCTAATCTTCCTGCGCGTCCGGATGGTTTGTTCCTGCACTCTCAGTAAGGCTCCCTTAAAGTACATCCAGCTCTCCTGGACTCTTCTCCTGCTCAGACTGGCTCCCCAGGGGATCATGCCCATGCATTCCCTGAGCGAGTCAGTCTGTTTTTCTGAAGTCCAAGATCCTTACTCTGCTGCTCTTCATCCTTCCTTCCCTCATGAACCTGAACTCAGTCATCTCGTGGTGACTGCTGCCCAAGTTCCCATCCACTACTACATCCCCCACCAGTTCTTCCCTGTTTGTAAGCACAGATCTAGAAGAGCATGGCCCCTAGTTGGCCGCTCCAGCACTTGCATCAGACAGTCGTCCCCAGTACTCTCCAAAAACTTCCTGGATTGCCTGTGCACTGCTGTATTGCCCTCCCAGCAGATGTCAGGGGGACTGAAGTTCCCATGAGAATCAGGGCCTTGTTACCTAGACTTGTTTTGCTTGTTCCTTGAAACGTAACTGTGCCCTGGAAGTTGGCAAAAATATACATATCTGTACGTAGAGCTGAAGGAGCCACAGGATGGAAGTGAGGTCTTGTGAACAAAGCAGCTTTCACATCTACCCCTCCTGCGCAGCCTCAGACAGCAGCCTTCCTTAGGCTGACTACAAGTCTCACAAGCAAGCACCTGATGTTAAGCATGAGCACAAGTGATTGTAGGGTGAGGGCCTAAAAGGGTAAATATTTTTGTCAGGATTTATGACTATTTTTCCTTCTATATCTGTTCTGGGACAATAGCAAAAGAGCACATACAAGCCCAACAAAACACTGCACTGATGTACCATGTATGAAATGATACTCATGACCTTTGATCGGCCCCTTTAGTATTTGTCCTTAAATGAGAGAACCTGTGAACTACTCTGCTTTTTCTGCTTATTCCAAGGAGGAAAAGAATTGCAGCCCCTATCTCTGAAAGAACAGCTTTCCTCTAACAAAGGCCACACCTGGCCTTGAAATCACTGTACCAAGTGAATGAGAGCTCTGGCAAAAAAAATACCAGGTTTCTCATATTTGCATGAGACTTTCTCAAGTGGGATCATTTTTAGCCCAATAAACCAGAATATAGAACCATCCCTTCTAAAACAGCTAAGCAGGTTCAAATTCCCCCTGCAGGGAATTTGCTCCGGTAAACACAGCTCTTGAAGCCCTTTTGGAGCTCTGCTTAATTTGATGAACAGTATTTGAGTGGTTTCCAATTAATAATACCCTCAATGCCTAAAAATGTATTTGGATGGCTGTGAAGTCCAAAGGACAAGATGTGTTTGATAAATGCTTTCCATCGCCTCTACTTGGAACAGAGTTGGATGATGCAGCCACATCACATGAGGATGATGAAATACTTTCTTTTCAAACAGTGATGGAGGACATTTAACAGTGTCCCTAACATCAAACATTTGTAAGCAGGCAGGTCTAGGCGACTTGCACTCAGTACTTTTAAGTGTTGGCTCTCAAGGCCAGTCATTTTATAAAACCTTGAAAACTCAGGGAAGTTTTACAGAGCAGAAAGCAAGCCAGGGTTGTGCCAGTATTTAAGAAGGGTAAATGATGTGACCCAAATAAGTAGAGGCTGATATGTCTGACATCTGTTCATGGTTAGATATAATGGCATGCGTTCCATCAATTAATAGCAAATTAGAAAACAGAAATATAAATGCCAGGTGTGGTTTCTTGGGAACAAGTCATGTCAAACAAACTTGACATTGCTCTTTGACAAAATTACAGTTGTGGTTGATAAAAGTAACGTGGTGTTGCAAACATTATGATTAAAAAGACCCAGCACTATACAAAATCAAAAAGGCACGTGGCAAATAGATTAAAAAGAGCTAATAAATTTTGAAATGTTGTTTTAAGGGGAATCAGCAATGAATAAAGCATGTTTTTAATTGAGTCTTGCCAGTACTGGTTCTGGGCCCAATCCTATTTATTGTCTGGAAAAAAAAATGATTGTGTCCTGTACAAACTTTGGTTGAGACTTTCAAATCTGACTCTAAGATTTAAAATTAAATGAATGGAAGCTGCATCTGTAAAACTCTGAGCTGACTCAGAAAACAAAAGTTTTTGGGGTAGAAAATAATTATGAGGACAGATTCATGTAAAGCAACATAGGGGTCAAATGGGCTCACACAACAGGTAGCTAGCTGATTTTGCACGCTTAGTGCCATGCTATGGCACAAAGGCATCCTTGGATAAATAAATGGGGGAATGAGATGACAATTCCCTCTGCGTATTCCCTGGGGAGTTGCTGGAATTCTGAATACAGTTTTTAAGTCCAAATGAAGGTCAGTGGAATCACTGCCCTCGCTTCCATCACTAGTACGCAAAGGCTTTTCATGTGGCATCTTTGTACGAATGAAGAAATAGCCATGAAAAGAAGTCAGAAAATAAAACAAACTTCATGAAAAAATCAGCTTTATAGGATGCATGCAGTTGTCTTTGTTGGTTTGATATGCTGAGCTCTCCATATACCTAAAGACAAGAGAGGGGAGTTTGCCTCGGGTTTGAGTAAAGATGGGCGAAATACTTGCTGAGTGAGACTTAAGAGTGAGCATCCTTGCAACTGAGGTCCTCAAAACAAAGCCTTCTCCCTCCATGACCTGGCTTGGCAAAACCGATGACAGAACTGGGGCCAGCCTGTTGACCGGAAATGAAAAAGAGAAATAACAATGAGGCCGTAGTCTTGTTGCTACTGCAATGGACTGGTAAAATGAGTCTAATGTCCTATTCCAGCCTTTTTTGCACTGGCTTCTTGCATGGAAAATGCTTTTACCCATGTGCTATAAAATGAGAGTAATCCCATACTGTGGTGCAAAATTTCCAGGCATTATTAAAAGAATCAGAGCAATTGTGTGCGGTGCGTTTTGGTATTATTTGTACAGTGACTCAGTTGAATTCATCTTGACACCTTACAGGCCTGTAAAGAGCTCAGCCCCTTTTGGTGTTACACAAACACATCATATCAGTAATAGCAATAATGCGACAATGTGAGGCTGGACTTTTGCCTCTTGGGAGGAAACAGCATTAAGCACCTCACAGTTGGAAATTGGAAGGGCAAGGGAGAAAGGTTGCATGTTTCATTAACTCTTGACGGACTCTCCCTCGTTAAAACCCTTCTGCTGAAGGGCCCGGAGGGGAGCAGCTCGGGCAGGGCCGGCTCGCCGACACGCTGCAGGCAGCAGGAGGGGGGACAGCACCCACACTCGGGGTGTCAAGGGGGGGATCACACCCCCAGCTGCTCTCTGCCCCCTGGCTGGGGGGGGGTCGCCCAGGTGCACGCAGCACCTGCCCCCCACCCCCACTGCAGGTGGGAAGGGGCTATGTGTACTGGGGACACCTGGTCTGGCTATTGTGGGGGGGAGATCTCACCCACTGGGACTCTGGGGTGTGGGGGGCACGCATGGAGGGCAGGGGAGGTCGCACACGCTGGGGAAACCTACCCGCCCCCCCAGGAGATAGGACACACACACCCCTCCCTCCCTCCCTCCCTCCTCAGCAGAGAATGTGCCCCCCTACGCGCGCGCACAAACGCACCTCGCCCCTCAGCTGTCACACGGACACAGCACCCCGCTGCAGAGAGCGGACAGACGGACCCCCCCCCCATAGAGGCCACACACATACTCAGCGGAGGGGATACACCCCCCCTCAGCAGAGTCACCCCGCACGCGGGTGCCCGCC